CTCTGATGCAGCTTTACAGCTTCAGGTACTGTAATCACCACTTAAATTAGGTGAGGTACACATTTATTCAGATAACCATATAGATGTTCCTGTTTTGAAGTAGTCAAAATCCCTAAGTGTAATCTGGTACTGAGATACTCAAGAGTCTGCTGTAATCAGAGTATCAACTGCATTTAATTTAACCCTTCCCTTATATAAGCAGAAAGTGGAAGGAGAGTAAAAGGGAGATAGTGTGGGGTATGGAAGAGGGTTCAAAACTTGGCACAGGGTGACACAAGTCACAATTCTGAAGGACACTTTTGTGTGCAGCAAAATTGCTGCAATTGTTGTATCTCCCACACCTCACAGATCATGTAGTTAATGTCATGTCAAGGGAAAATAAGGATGACAGAGCATAAAGGCTCTAGATGTTCTGTCTTTAGGAACTTTAGGTGCACTTTAGGTGCACTTTAGGTGCATCTTACCGTATTTCTGAAGCATTTTATACTTGTATAAGGCATGAGAACAGGTACAGGCAGTACAGAGTTGACCTTTTTTAGTTCTCCCATTCCAATAGCAGCCGTGACCAGCCACGTTTCATTTTGTGGTAATTTTATCTATTTATGAAGATAACTCAAACCTTTTCTGGTTTGACACAGGCGTATCAAATACTGAGGACATTCAGGCACATGTAAAAAAAGCCATAGAAGGAAAATATCCCTTATACAATCTTGGTTTTGGCTATGGTGTTGACTACAGCTTCTTGGAGAAGATGGCGCTGGAGAATAAAGGATTGGCCCGTCGGATTTATCCTGACTCTGATGCAGCTTTACAGCTTCAGGTACTGTAATCACCACTTAAATTAGGTGAGGTACACATTTATTCAGATAACCATATAGATGTTCCTGTTTTGAAGTAGTCAAAATCCCTAAGTGTAATCTGGTACTGAGATACTCAAGAGTCTGCTGTAATCAGAGTATCAACTGCATTTAATTTAACCCTTCCCTTATATAAGCAGAAAGTGGAAGGAGAGTAAAAGGGAGATAGTGTGGGGTATGGAAGAGGGTTCAAAACTTGGCACAGGGTGACACAAGTCACAATTCTGAAGGACACTTTTGTGTGCAGCAAAATTGCTGCAATTGTTGTATCTCCCACACCTCACAGATCATGTAGTTAATGTCATGTCAAGGGAAAATAAGGATGACAGAGCATAAAGGCTCTAGATGTTCTGTCTTTAGGAACTTTAGGTGCACTTTAGGTGCACTTTAGGTGCATCTTACCGTATTTCTGAAGCATTTTATACTTGTATAAGGCATGAGAACAGGTACAGGCAGTACAGAGTTGACCTTTTTTAGTTCTCCCATTCCAATAGCAGCCATTCAAAAAACTCACCAAAGAATTTAGATACTGGATTTCATTGCAAGCTCTGCCAAAATCAAATACCTAGTCTCCTTTGGCTTATGTTGTCAGTTCTGTCAAATGGAGGGGAGCTTGGGGTCCCTCTTGATTAACATTGATGAAACTCATCATCCACAGCATATTCTCAGGTATTTTTCCTTTCTTTCTGTGAGACCGAAGAGTTGTATGTCCTTTCTCATTTCCATTATTTATAGATTTGTACTCTGAGATTTAACTGAATATTTAAATGTTTATTCTAGAATACGCTTTTGGTTTTCATTGCTGAAATGGCAGGATGTTTCTGGGTGTAGGTCCAGGTCCACCTATGAATTAAAGAAACAATGTTAGTTAAATGTTTTCTTTTTTTTTTTCTTTCCCTGTCCTGTAGGGGTTTTATGATGAGGTGTCAAATCCCATGCTCACGGATGTGGAATTAAATTACCCAGAAAATGAAATATCAGACCTAACTAAAAACAGTTTTAAGCATTTCTATGATGGGTCGGAGATTGTGGTGGCTGGGCGCTTTATAGACTACAACCAGAACAGTTTGACTGTAGATGTGAGAGGTGAAGGTGTAAGTATGGATTTCTTTGACTTAAGTAAGGTACACAAAATGTCTGAATGTTCAAAGCTGGCAATATGTAAAATATTTACTGGTCTTTCTTTACCTCAGTGACAGGATGTGTTATTGCGTGTGTGAGAAACTTCATGCGCCAAAGTCATTGCTTTTAAAACTGCAAGTTACTTGCCTAACTCGCTCAGGTGTACTAGGGGGTGTCTGGAACAACTTTGTGCTGTGTGACTGGATTAGCTTTGCTAACAGATTACTTATTTTTTTTTTTAGTTTAGTCTTTAAATACCCTAACTGGTTCTTTCAGGAGGCAAATGTTCAGTGTTCACAGATGCTAGTCTTCACTGGGTGAAGAAAACTGATGGATAAGATCAGGTCCCTTCCGACCCAAACCATTCTATGATAAAGCAGCCAAATATTGGAAATGCTTTTCTCTCAAAATAGATGTCTTCTGCTAATGTGAACCAAGTGATCTAAATACCTCTCCAGATCTGGATTCTTAAAAGGATGTGCCCCTCATACTCAAGAAACACAACAAAAACATAGTATAGATCATGTTATCATAAATACTGTGAACTGCATATATGAACCACATATACACCATGCACTAAATATTACTATTATTAAATATATTATATGAAATTAGGTATATTTCAAATCCAAATAATGTGTTATTAGTCAGTTAGCCAGCATATCTGCTTGAAAAGGTTCCTGAATGAAATTGGCATCATCAAAGTTCTTTAAATCCTGAGTACCCAAATTCTAATGAACAAAAATGCCAGGTGAATTTGGAAACTGCAGGATATCCTATAGCTTACACTATGAACCTTCACAGAAGCAACGGAACAAAGATCCTGATACAACACTGACAATTTCCTGGGCAAGTGCTGTGTAGGACCAGACTCTTTTTCAATTTAGTAAGATTTTCAGATGTGAAGGACTTGATTTTGGGAGGTTCTGGAATTCCCTGGCTACTTATGATGCAGAGCAGTTTCCTTACTCCTAACAGGCAAACGATGCCCTGTCATATACTACAAAACAAGATGCTGAGCAAACAGCTAAAGCTTTCCAAGAACAAGAATACATATTTGGAGAGTACATTGAAAGGCTCTGGGCTTATCTCACCATTGAACAACTCCTGGAAAAACGGTAATTATATCTAGAATAACATCTTTGCTATGAACCCATTAAGCCATTTGACTGGTGCAACTTCTAGGATGTGAAGCTGAAATTCACATTACACTGAAGTGTCAATGGGAAAACATAAAAAACAGTAAGGAAAATCCCCCAACATATTCTCCTCCCCAACCTCAGAATTCCCATTTCAGGTTGCAAATTAAACAACTTTAAATTATTGCAAATATAAAGCACAGTTTTGCCTTTTTCTTGGATAGCCAGTGGACTCAGAAGTGCTCTTAGACTGTAACAAATATTCCTTATCGGTAAATTAGCTGCAGAGAAATGACTTCACTTTAGAGAAAAATATGTAATCCAGAGCTCAGTGAGTAATTTAGCAATCAGTGATGCCAGGAGTCTCTACCTGTATTCAGTATTGCAGCTACTGGAGAAGAAAAGGAGAATCTTACAGCCGAGGCCCTGGATCTCTCACTAAAATACAAGTTTGTAACACCACTGACATCCATGGTGGTAACAAAGCCAGAAGAAAATGACAATCAAGATGGAATTGCTGATAAACCCATTGAAGGTATGGACATTTTCACAATTTTACTTTATTTGAGA